AAAAAAAGTTGGGTTCAAGTGGATCAAGTACAGCTTCATAGCTGCGGTTATGGTGGACCTCGAACGAAGAGATAAGAGAACAGGGAACCTACCTGTGGGCAATGGCAAAGATATTAAAAAATAGCAATTGTAAAACGATCGTTATTTTGGATGACCGGAGAGTTGATGATTTATTGCGCGTGGGAATGCTTGGGAATGCAGAGTATGAGGGAGGAACTAGGGACCAAGCATTCCTTGAACTCATAAAAGACGCCGGTATATATATACACTCGCTTCTATCTTACCGCTTGCGGGAACTGTCATTCGCAAACTGCGACATCTAGAGGTAGATCGCCACACCACGGACGGAGCTAAAGATTACCTACACGAAGAGGACAAAAGTTTCATACAACTGGTTTAAGATCTATGTAACATAATTTCGTTGAACAAAAAATTATTGGTAATCAGGTATACAAAAGTAATATGAAAATGAATAAAGAGTCAGATAATTAGTACCCCCTAATCGACCACGAAATTTTCCCGAAGATAAAGGTCCACGGTACACACGAACTGCGCATATAAAGACGGCCGGGCAAGTGGAGTCATAAGAACGGTTTTTTTTACACACCGCATTAAATAATATCATAGCTACGTGATTGATTATTGAATTAATGTTAACAATCATATAATTAATTATTAAATTATTTTATCACAAACTTTATATTACGGTTACGGTTAAAGGGAAACAAATTTTAGTTTGCTTGAATACTTGTTGGAAAGTATTGGATTTCATTACTATCATAGCTAAAGTAATTGATCATTGACGATTTGAAATTAAAAGTTTTATAAATGAGAGAGAGAATTTTAAAGTTAGAGTAAAATTATACAGACTGTCATACTTACCCCTATTTAATCTTTTGAAAAAAGTATTAACACAGTTTTGAATTATTTTATTGTCAATATTTTAGTGAGCTAGCAGTTTGAAATATAAAATTGTAAGATTGCATGAATACTTGAAGGAATTTATTTGATTTCATTAACATCATAGCTAAGTAACTGATAATTGACATTTTGAAATTACCAGATTTAAAAATAATCAAAACAAATAATTGTGAAGTAAGACTCAATTTATAAGGACCAGACTGTCATACTTGCTGCTTCATAATCTTTTGATGAAAGAATTACCACAATTTTGGATTATTTTATAAGAAATCCAGAATTTTTAATCCATAATGATGAAATGTTAGCATGAATTCCAAAAAACCACTCTACACAAGCTTATGAAATTTCAGACTCTTACGATGAAAACATTTTATTTTTCAACAAAAAAAAGTACAATTTCTTTTCGTAAAGATAAAAAATCAAATTTTCCATTTTCAAAGTTAGACCAGAATTGTCACTATTATCATAAAATTTTAGTATGAAGTCCAACAAACTACTTTACACAAGCTAGTAAATTTTCAAATCTCTACAATGAAAACTTATCATGTATCAAGAAGAAGTTGTAAGTTCTTGTTGTAATGGTAAAAATGAGATTTTCCATTTTCCAATTTTATAATTGGAATTTTAAGTCTATTATAATGAGATTTAATTATGAATATAAAAAACCTCGACTTTATAGGAAAAAGTCGTCGCCAGGACTGTGTATTTGTACTTACTTCACCGACTAGGCCACCCGGGTGAACAAAGTAGCGAAAACACCACACATAGAGCATCGAGTGGGCTACCGGGGTATTGTAATATTTTCGACAAGAAGAGAATCCTCGATTCTATGTGTATGTAACGAGCAGGTTACACGGGTGTATTCCCGTGCGTGGACATCACGACTTCTCGAAGTAAGTCATCGTCGAACCTGGACTTTGATCTAGTTGGACGAACGGGTCTTCACTTGTTCAATCCGATGCATGTACATACACATACACAAACTATACGTCTATGTATGTTGCGCGAGAACACTTGTATACACTGGCGTGATAACACTTTTCATGCGACTCATATATTCATTTTCGTTTCTGTAGGAAATAGTGGACCTTTGGAAAATCTAAATAGCTCATATTGATAGGATTTTTTCCAAGGAATCTGATGAGCTTATCAGATTTTCGATAACTCTTATCAAATTCAAATGAGAACGAAAAGAAAGTTGGCAGAAAGTTATGCGCTGTATATGAGTATATGAGCAATTCCAGAATTTAGTTTTAAATTTTTTGACTAAAAACGGAAAAATTTTTTTTCGTTGGACGCATACTTTGAACATTGGGTATTGTTCTTGAAGGTCTTTGGAAGCTAAAAACATGCGTGAACATGAAATTTAAAGATAGGTAATTTTTTCTGGCCACTTTTGTGTTTTCGGGTTCAAAAAGTCATGTTTTCGCGTAAATAAGACAATTCACTCAATTTCTGAGTGGCTGAAAAAGTATCAAAACTCATTCCAGAAAAGTGACTGACTATTGCATTCGATAGGAAATTTTCTCAGCTTTCCGATATCAGATATTCCGATACATTGCATATTCACTGAGAAAATCATCACCAAACATGCCGAGCTAAATATCTCGAAAAAATCAGTACGGAAAAATAGCTTTTTATGATTGCTTTTTGATTTTTTCTTATGAAAATTAAATATTTCGGAAAATTTGATACTACCATCGTAAAGCTGAGGAAGTTTCCGATCGAAAGCCTATATTTATTTATTTTTTCCGTCGAATTACAATGATATACAAGCGAATTTCTGTAACTGTGTTTGCTGTTTTCTGTTCCCGAGCTGTTTAATCGCTGTCGCAAAGTTTTCAGCGTTGTGCGGCTCGCTACAATCAAAATTCGCTCATAATTCGACGGAAAAAATAAATAAAGATATGTTTTCGATAGGAAATTTCCTCAGCTTTCTCATGGTGCAGTTAGATTTTCTGATAAATTTCATTTTCACAAGGAAAAATCAAAAATAAGCCATAAAAAGAACTTTTTCCGTACTGATTTTTTCGAGATATTTAGCTCGGCATGTTCGGTGGTGAATTTCTTAGTGAATTTGCAATGTATCGAAAAATCTGATATCACCATCGGAAAGCTGAGAAAATTTCCTATCGAACGGAATAGTCAGACACTTTTCTGAAATGAGTTTTGATACTTTTTCAGCCACTCAGAAATTGAGTGAATTGTCTTATTTACGCGAAAACATGACTTTTCGGACCCGAAAACACAAAAGTGGCCAGAAAAAAATTACCTATCTTTAAATTTCATGTTCACGCATGTTTTTAGCTTTCAAAGACCTTCAAGAACAATACCCAATGTTCAAAGTATGCGTCCAACGAAAAAAAATTTTTCCGTTTTTAGTCAAAAAATTTAAAACTAAATTCTGGAATTGCTCATATATATATCTGTGGTGGAAAGGCATAACGACTTAAGTCCATTTTTCGTAATTTCGAGAAAAACGCGTTTTATGTTGATTGGGCCAGCCTAACTAAACGCGGACGAGTCGAGATCTGAACCTATGGTGTTTTAAGCTACTATGAGGTAGCTTTTCAACTATGTACTTATGAAATTGAAAGGCGCATCATAGCGATGATACCGAGCAAAAAATATGGACTTAAGTTGTTTTGCCTTTCCACGGTTTGCACTTAAGTTCACTTTTGTCGGTCACACTTTTTTCAATATCGATTATTTCGCGCAGTTTGTCATCATAACCTCATTTAACGAATTCACATTGATAAAATTGCTCATTTAACGTTATACTGGTGTCAGATCTCAAATCTTGCAACGAAAAAAGGCCAAACTGAAAATCGCGAAAATGGCCCATCGCGTATTAAATGTACCAATCGTATAGTGAAATTCACAACATTCGAAGAGTGTGAGAGTTATTTGTATGTACGAGTATCATTTTCTTTCATTTTCAAATCAAAGTAGACTCTCTATAGCATTTTAAAGCTCGCAAAGGTGGACTTAAGTCGTTTTGCCTTTCCTCGTTTCTCATGAAATGGACTTAAGTCGTTATGCACGATGCTGAAACTAACGATAGAAGCTATATTCATCTATTCTGACCCTTGTACATCAAAGTAGGCACTACATATAGTTGTTTTTCACCATAATATCGATTTCCATAAAAATGGACTTAAGTCGTTATGCCTTTCCACCACAGATATATATAGCGGCGTGTCGTCACTTAGTTTCTGTCATACTTGCCAGGTGGAGCGCGACACGCGCTCCTCGATATTGTGAAAACGAACTTCAAACGAAACATGTACTCTTGCAGAGTACATTGAAAAATGAAAGTATTGAAAATTTCAGCTCTTTAGGTTTATTCCACAGAGATTTGCAGGGGCTCAAAGCTAAATTTTTATTTTTTTATTGTTATTGTGCTTTTTGGAGTGCATGCAAAAAAATTTTTAAATCGTGTTTTTTATGTAAGAATTGATGTACTCAATATGTTTTAAAAATGATCAAATAGCCTAAAATTACAAAAAAGTACACAAATAAACTGGTTTGTATAGCTCAAATTGGACAATATTGAAGTATGTTCTTCTGAAGACTGGAATACAACTATTCACCAAGTGGAATACTGTGGAAATCAATAGATACCATTTGATAGAACGCGAATGACTAAGCATATGAATTTCATGAAAACAAAGAATAAAACATATACTAATAAAAAAGAAGTGATTTTAATCCTACTAATGATTAAAATTTTAAATTGTTTTTTTTTACTACTAACTAGTTTTAAGAAAACTATTAAATTCTATTAAAATAATTTTCATTTAAAAATGAATTTTATGTAAGGTTTAATTTTCTTTTTACTGAATTTAAATTTTAAAAGTTTCGCAATAAAGAAAAATTCAATATTATTGTCTGATGGTAAGTTACCACTTAGTTAATGTTATCTGCAAATGCAGCTTCGAGTGAACGGGCTGAAATTTAGTGTACAGTAAAGCTCACTCATAGTATTGATTTTTTAACGCTGCGCATGTGTACTTGAACTATCACGTGTCTTAAAGCTAGTAGTGTTAGATTTCAGTATTAAACTTTATTCGATCTGCTTAACTTGTGCTGCTGAAATCTTTAACAAAATACGAATAAAAATGTGTAAACAATTCTTTAGATTTTAATTATCGTTGGTACATGAATGTAAAATAATACGTGAGTTGTTAAAAATTACTCAATAAAGTGAATTGTCCATAAAATTATTGATTTAAAATAGCTGAGCTAATTCAATTTCCACAATTATATCTAATGTATAAATATCTGTATTTTTAATGGTTAATAAATGGCAATATACAAGAAAAGTGGATTAATTTTCTTGTCACTGTGTATAAAAATACTCAAAATATGTGTTTATCTGCATTGCGGATGTATTATAGCAACTTGTACTTATTGCGTTGGTTGAAAAAAGATAATATTGTATATATAAAGGGAAAAGGAAGTTAGATTAGATATAACACTTGAATTAAAAATATTATTAATTCGAAAAAAAAGTTCTGTATTGAAATTTAAAAATAGTACTTTCAAGTATGAATGTAATAAAATACATTTATCTGGTATAATAACTTAAACTAAAACTTATGTTAAAACAATCCGGTGCTCAATATACATTGGAGTGAAATCATTAAATTTCAATTGCTTTTACAAAAATTCTACTATATTTGGTTGCTAATTTATGAATTAATTTCGTGACAGAGGTACGATGGTTGATGCAACAGCAGTTTTAACATCGACGTCTAATTGCGATGGTGACAGTTTCATGAGAAGAACTCGCGGAGCTTTGCGCTCTATGCGTTCGGTTCTCGGTGGTGGTGGCGAGTACTTGCAAGGACTAAGCACTAGATTAGGCACCGCTTTGAGTAGTAGTCATGATGAAAGTGATCCAACGACTTCACCTTCAACTCAAACCTCACAATCTCGACCAGTCAAACAGTTGGCGCAAGAAACATCTTCCAAGAAAGAAGCTGATTTTCAGAAAAAACTTCAATTTTCCAGGTTATTTTAAAATAATTTTATTAATAAAAACAGTTTCATCTTGATTACCTATCAATAATTCTCAATTTGATAGATATAAAAATGAATCAATGTACGAAGATTATGATGCGATGATAAGAAGAAAATTTGAACAACAAGAGATGGCTCGATGTTCCCGAATAAGTCGAAAATATCCAGGTATGTCTTATGAAGAGATAGCATCATCAAAATCAACATCGCAAAAACAATCAGAGCCAGTGAACGTTGAAGATCCTGCTAGTCCAGGTAGAGACAGTATAGAAAGCGCCGATATGGAACAACCAAAAGAAATTAAAGCCCCTGTACAGGAGCGTTTTGAAAAATTAAACAGCAAAGTTGGTAAGTTATACTCTGAACATTGATAATAAAAATTCATTTTTTACCATTTTAACATACAAATATTCTTATAATTATTTAGCTTGCAATTTTAAATAATTTATTATAATTGAATTGATATTTTCCATAAAAATGCTATATAATAATGTTTTAATGTCTTCTTTTTCCACGTGTACGCCTTTAAAGCAAGGGCTCCAAACCGTTATCAGTCCGTGATTTTTCGTTTAGGTAAATCATTTCCGATGCATTATATACGTATATATCTGCATATATTGCATATTTGTTATCAATGTGTATTAGGGTGTCCGTTATTTCCCAAACGTTAAAAATCCTTGCTCCAGAAGTTTAGATCACTTCTTTGTGATATAAAAACATGATTTGTACGGTTTATAACCCATAGGCACAGGTTAAAACCGTGCCTATAAATTAAAGTCGATATTTGCATTTAACCCATTAACTCACAGAATGTAGGACTTTAAGATAGGATTTTTTCCATGTTTTAAGCTTTAGAAAAACTTTGCGAGAACATAATTTGATGTAGAATTTAATTCCCTTTCCAAATCTGGGCTCAGATTTAAAAACCAATGCGTAGTTCAAAAGTTATGATCGTTTAAACGAAAAATTCTGTGCAAAACATGACAAATTCATACGTTTTTTTATGTTCAAACGAGCATAACTTTTGAACTACGCATTGGATCTCAAATCTGAGCCCGGATTTGGAAAGGGCATTAAATTTTACTATAAAAACATTGGATCTTTTTTCGGATCGTATAAATCCTTAGGTGATAAGCTTTGAACTTATCTAAAAATTTAAGGTATCAGAGTTAAGTTTCCTAGCGCGAGGCCCGCACGGCGTTATGAGGCGAAATTGCTCAATTTCTAACTCTCTGTAACAGCACCTAAATGCACCTAAAAGAAAAAAGGTAACATATCATTTCAATGGGAAATTACCTCAGCTTTCCTATGGTAAGGTCAGATTTCCTAAAATTTTCCTCTTTCTTCGGAAAAATCGTCGGAAAACCTTCAAAGTTGAATATCTCTAAAACGGTATTTTTAAGATTTTTTCAGATAGTTTTAATTGAAAGCTGAGGAAATTTCCTATCGATATGCTAGTTTTCAAAGTGTGAAAATGATTATTATTTATTGAAATACAGCAACGAACGCGTGAAAACGTAAAATTCTGGGCTGCGCGGTACACTGCGCTACGAAGCAACTGTCGCGCATTGCTTTGAAGTAGGATTTTTACCATGTTTCGCGTTTGTGAAAAACTTCGCAAATATATAATTTGGCGTAAAATTTAATGCCCTTTCCAAATCCGGGCTCAGATTTAAGATCCAATGCATAGTACAAAAGTTATGCTCGTTTGAACATGAAAAACGTATGAATTTGTCATGTTTTGCACAGAATTTTTCGTTTAAACGATCATAACTTTTGAACTACGCATTGGTTTTTAAATCTGAGCCCAGATTTGGAAAGGGAATTAAATTCTACATCAAATTATGTACTTGCAAAGTTTTTCTAAAGTTCAAAACATGGAAAAAATCCCACCTTAAAGTCCTACATTCTGTGAGCTAATGGGTTAAATGCAAATATCGACTTTAATTTATAGGCACGGTTTTAACCTGTGCCTATGGGTTATAAACCGTACAAATCATGTTTTTATATCACAAAGAAGTGATCTAAACTTCTGGAGCAAGGATTTTTAACGTTTGGGAAATAACGGACACCCTAATGTGTATTTAATTTATTAGAATTGATGTACAAAAGACACATATTTATTTTCCAAAACGTTTACTCCAGTGTGTTTATTGTTTAGTACAATCTATCAATACAATAACCAGTACATATATTATTTTTCACAAAAAATATGGTCAAGAAACAAAGTAGTTGCAAAAATGAAATTCGTTCAAGTTTTTATTGAAACATTATTATTGAACTACAATAAAAACAATATGATTTATGCTCTTGGCACAAGCGCAAGTCAGATTTTTTTTTACTTTATATTTTGACGGATATGTTAATCTTTAGCTTGAAGTTATTCCAGTACTTAATATTTTTAAAAAATTTCTAAAATGCTTGAAGTATTATTGCATGATTTTTTCATCTTTACAAAAAACATTGAAGGACAATTTGACGCATGTTTATGCACGTGACAGCACAGTTTAAGCATATTGTATTTCCTCATTGCATTTTCAATAGCACGTACATACAAAAAATAAATAAAGCGGCCTATAAAAACAGTTTAGATAATTTGCACAAGTGTGAAGCTAGTTAAGAAAATGCTTCGTGTTTTTACGTATTGCTAAGGTTCGTCAGGTAGAATACTAAAGTTGAATTATTGAGCATAGTATTGGAATAAAATGGGTTGTTTAATTTTTCTTATGATTTACTTAAAGATTTTAACTAGTCTTTGCAGTAGTATTAAATAAGCTAGTAGTTAGTTTGCAAATATTTTATTAAATAGATGTTGTGTAAAAATGCATGTTATTCGAATAAAAACAAGAGAATAACATTATTTTACAATTTAATTTAATTCGTGGTAGCAATAGAACTTAAATGTAACTAAAATAAAAAATTTTATGAATAATTCTTAATGATTATGTATTGAAAGTAAAATTTGACAATACTTTAAAACAATCATAAAAAAAAACTTTTTATTTTATTAGAAATGCCCTCGAGTAGTAGTTCTGCGAGTGATGCAGATTATGCACCCCATTTAGATTCTTCTGGAGACGGGCGTAAAGACTGGCAAAGATCTGGTAATGGTTATAAATCAATTATTATTCTATCATTAATTTTGCTTTATGAACTACTCACTAAACGAAAATTGCTGTAGGTTCATCTGCTTCTATTCAATCATGGACTTCCAGTTTATCGGCAGATAGTCAATCAGAAGAAGCTGCAGTTGAATTTATGAAAATGTTTGTACCTATGCTGTTTCAATCGCCATGTACGATAGAGCAAGAGCAGAAAGCTCAATTTGGACAAATGGTTTTAGTAAGTAATTCATTAAATTTAAAAATTTTACAAAAATAGAAAAAACTAGAATTAAACTAATTTTGCTATTTACAGACAGAACCTGGGCGGATTTGGTTTGCGAGAGTTGTCAGCTCAAGAAGAGCACGTCCCTGTATTTCAGAAGAATCTTTTTATTCTTTGGCACAGCATTTCGCTGTCGCACTTTTTGAATGTCACGAAGCAGATGATTTTGGCCCGGCAAAAAATCTTATGAACATGTGTTTCACATTTTATCACGAAAGTAAGAAACGAATTGATTTTTTTATTAAATTTTATTACGTGCTTCGTATACATTTTAATTGCTGAATGCTAAATAAATATTGCTACTAAATTTTGGTGAAGCTGTGTACCTAATCAGAAAACGAAAACTTTTTTAGAATACGCAAATGAAATTGAAATATTTATATTTTTATTATAGTTGAAGTGCCAGGAATAGAACCATATCGAGAATATTTATATACTAACTTGAGAGTACAACCTATATGGACATCGATGCGATTTTGGACTGCTGCATTTTTCGATGCTGTTCAATGTGAAAGAGCTGCCAAGCCTGTGCCTCCTAAACCCAAATCAATAGATCAGGAAGTTGCTGCTGCAGAAGATAGAAGGTTTCATGCCAACATAGTTTTCGGCCAACTTGGGTATTGTTATGCATTATTGATTACACTGAATTTATTTTTTCATGAGTTATCACTTTTTACGACTCACTCATTATTTAATTTCTAGGACATTTACGTGCAATATGCATGCTTTCGGTTTACCTAGAAATCTCTGTCTCGAATTTCTTAAGAAACAATGTATTATTGCCAATTTAACTCCAGGTATTTTAAATTTGTTACTAAATTTAATTAAGAAGTTATTTTATGTAAATTTCTTTGTTACAGACCAAGAAAAAATGCTCAAAGACAATATAGATCGTATGTTCGATGAAACCGAGCCTTGGCGATAGTTATAAATCAACAAACTCTGTATTGATGCTATTCATTTTATACGAACTGTGTATATATAACGAAAAAATTAAGTAAAATAAGTTAATTTACAAATTGACATACAATTTTCAATAACAATGAAAATTGACTTTTGAGTCAATTTAAATATGGTTTACTTAACATTAAGAATAGGTATTAATAAAAAATTATTATCAGTTGCCCTTTAAATTATATTAAAGCTATGCAAAAAAACTAAGGCAAGTTGAAGCATTTGTAAAAAAAATTTTATCATGTAATTTTTTCATTATTCATCGATTGGAATTTTTGCGATAAATTTTATAATGTATTTTAAGCGCAGATTTTTCGATGAAAATAAAATATTTTTTCAAAAATGGCTTTTAATATTATATATTTATACAGACTGGAATTTTCATTAATAGAACAACAGTCAGCAAAAATGAACCGCTTTGTGAAATTTCCTAAGCAAAACTATTTTTAGAACTCATTGTTTAAAATTAAATTTTTAAGCAAATATCAATTATTGAAAAATTTTTATCTATTCACTTTTCAAGTTTCAAAATGACTAAAAGTACTTGATTAATATACAGGCCGTAATGCCAACTCATAACTGATTACAAATTCACGATTAAAGTAATGGTGAAAATTAAAATGTTTAATCACATTTGAGAGCTTTCTAGATACAACTTAAAAGAACTTTTTGGAAACCAACATTTCGTCGTTTTATAGAAATCCATACAATTTTTTAAATTAATATTCCATAGCAAGCTCAATAAGTGCAATTATAAATTTTAGTTTTAATTTGTATTACAGTGACTCAAAGCTTTGCAACTTATTATAGTTCACTGTTTTAAGAATTAAAAAAATATTATATTTTTGGCCTAGAAACAGCTGGCATGACAAATCACTAAGATAATAATATATTTAATATGCTTTTATATTTTTATTGAATATTAATTTAACCTAGGTATTACTTCTTATCAAAATGGATTGGAAAATTGGGTAATAATAAAAAAAACTATGTTTTTATACATACTGTTTATTAATTATTTACTCAGAAAAATTAGGCCACAACCAGTGGGCCTTGACTTCAATTTAATAAACATATTCGACATCACATTATTATGTTTTATCAAGTTCTTTTTAAGATTTTATGTTTTCCTTTTCCTATGAAACTTCATGAAAATGTCTAAAAGAAAATACGATAAATTATAATATTTTGATTACACATACAATTGGAAAATTTTCAATCAAAATCACTTTTGCTATGTTTGACTCCATTTTTATATAAAGTATAATTTCGTGTAATTGTATGTTCTATTTCTTAAATACTATTAAGTTAATTAATTTGTTTCAAATTATACCATTGTTATATAAATCTATTATCATATATGAATAAGCCGTAAAACGTTTTACATAATTCTTATTTACTTGGAAATAAAATAAATATATCTATATCACAAGTAACAATTATCAAGATCTTTAAAAATTTATAGTTTCATTTTTGGAAAGGGAAGTTTCTTTAAAATAATATCTAGTAAAAAGTTAAGTCTATACTGTTACTTTGATTAAAAAACACTTTAATTAACAATAAATTGCCTGTTCAAAAAGACTTATTTCATCAATTTTTCAAGAATTTAAAAGTGAAAAAATATGCAAAATGTCCATTACCTATATATGTATTTTAAAGAAAATTTTTCACGCACTCATCCATATTACCATTCACACTTGTGTTATTTTATTCTTTTCTAAATTCAGATTGTTTTTGTTTTAATCAATTTTACATTCAATCATCTGTTCGTACTTACAATTTAACAGCGATTCTCTATATGTGCATAACAAGAGTCAATTCTAATGCATTACCGCCGTTTTGCAGTCTGAGTAGGTTACACATTCACGTTCAATGGTATTTTGATATTTCAGGACATATTTTTTTTTATGAACAATGAGAGTAGCTATATTTTTAGTTTTATCAAGTAACAACGATCCCAATTACTATTTCAAATGAACAGCTTTTTGATAAGCTGTATTTTAATCACAATGAATTAGGTTTTTCTTTTAAGCATGATGATTTTGGAATCATACAAAACTTATCAGTAAAATAAAGATATTATCAACCTGAATGACTTAAAGTAAATATCATTAATTTTCCATAATTGTGTGAATATAAATGGTAATTTAAAAATGATGTAAATTTTAACAGATTCATAAAAAATACGAAATCCGTTTACTCATTTTATCGATTCTTTAACACTCATTATGAAAAGATCTTGTGTTTATAAACGTCTATATACTGAATGCATTTATCAAGTAGTGCTATGCGGAATAACCGTTTACTTCATAATTTATTTATATATAATATTTATATCGTATAATCTACGTTATGATTCTATATTCAAAAAATAATACAATATATATGTATATTTATACGTAGTGTTTGTTTTTATTCGTGCTAATGATTTTAAGTGCACAAGTAAGTCATTCACTTTAATTATTCTCTTTTTTCTTGCTTTTTATTTTCTCATTCCTCGACATATTTTAGAGGGAAATCATATTGCAATTTCTCAAGTTTTCTGATTACATTTTAGTTTTTTAAATCTGTCAATTCTTAAAATGTTCATTGTCAAGAATTTATACATCCATCAAGTTAATCCATTACATAATATCATTCATTCAGTTAATCAATATATTTATCAGTTTTTTCAGATACCTTTTTATTATTTGTTATTATCAAAATATATACGATGAAGAAAACCATATAATATACAGAAATGAAATTACAAGAATTAAAATACAAATATCAATTTCAAATTGCGGGCACTTTTTTCTGTGTGTTGAGTAACAACCATTTTCTTATTACGTTTTACTAAATATATCACAAACTGTTGATGGTTTATTAGTTTCGTATTTATTTTGCATAATTTCCGAATTTATATTCTACGTACATCGTTATATCTATTTTCACGATGGAAATTGTGTTTCAATTTCAGAGTATTAAATTCAAACAATATAAATAGTACTGTAAACTCATAATTTATCAACCTTTCGCATTTATTTGAATATAAATCTTAATTTCTTTCAATTATAATGAAATTATTATTACTAAATACGAAACTACCATCAAAAAATTATTATATAAAAAATTACGTAATAAATTTAACATCACTGTCGATTGCGTTAGGCTCTCAAACATTGTAGTTGGAGAGGAATCTAAGGTCTTTTAATTTTTGTAAATATTTGATTCCAAAAACCACACATGTTTTAAGAGTATACCAAATCCGATATACTAAGACAAATTATTTCTTAAATTATTTTAGATGATAATATTTTTTAATTCATAAGTATTTTCATCATGTATTAAAAGTTCTAAAGATTTTCTATTATATGTGTAATTATGCATTTTTATATCACACTTAACAATGTTTTATTCACTACTTTCTTTCGACACTGATCAAAAATTTTTTTTTCATTTGATTTTAGTAAAAGACAATGTAATATATCAAGATTAAAACAGGTCGATTAAAAAGACTAATGATATCTTATTTTACATAAAATAACATTAATAGAAATACATAAAATTAAAACGTTTTTGATATAAAAAATTTTATTCAAATTTTCCCAATTATTTGTTTCAAATTATCGTGTTAAATTTTTAGTCTGCCTTCATATCTAGTCATTAAATTTAATAAAATTAAAAAATACAAATTTCACCTAGACAGTACAATTCAGTTCAATATTATTTATATTATTTTTAGATTTTTTTTTTCACAAATGATACATATCCAAAATTAAAATCATCTGAAATTACTTTTCCGGATCAATTAAATTAATCTTTTATTTATTATTATTCTAAATTATAAAAATTTAGGCTTATAACTTTATGATTGTAAAAAAAATGAAAAAATTTTTTATGAGCTACTATTTCTTGTTATTTTTTGTGTAATTAACAATAACTTCAATATAAACCCTTTTTTTACTTATTTTTAATAAGTAATTTTACAACTTGCTACAATATTATGGCAGTTTCAATTACATATTCCACACTATATTTTTAGTTGTCATTTGTGAAATTTTATTACTCGAAGGGGTTGTATATACAATTTTGTTCTTTTTAATCAAAACAGTAAATTATAAAAGACTAAATAAGTATGTTTTAATGAGTCACATGAAGTTATGTATATCTTAAATACTATACCTCAGGAACATATTTTATTTTAGGATAGATTTCCTTATGAAAATGTGCTGACAAAGTCAGATTATTTTGTTCTGATTAAATTAAAGTTTCTGAGCAGATTGATTATAGTCTGTGCATAAAACTTTCCATTTTATTTGAAACGGTCAATTTTATTATTATCAAAAAGATTTATGTCGTTACTTTTCCGGAATTTGCTAGTATTTAATAATACTTGAATGACTTATCATCTACTTTACTTATAAATTCTTCATATTATTTATTTATTTTTTTGGTCATGGACGGTTGAGTTTCGAAATTTATAATAAAATAAAAACAGATTACTGAAATACCGTATTCATAAATGTTATCTTTACAGTTTCTTTTGTTCTCTCAGTAAATCAGTAATACGAACTTTAATTTATTTCAGTTCCATAATATTGTTCAAGGAGTACGAAATGCTCAAAATATAGATTTAGTTTTATTTAAAATTTTATTAATTTTTTTTACATTTATCATTTTAATTTTTCAATAAAAATGTTTTATTACTTGCAAATTTGAGAATAACTGAAAACTGATTTAACTATAAAAAAAGTATGCAAGTAAATATAAATTACATTCAAAGTTATCACTAGTAAAGATGTTGTAAACGTTCGTAATATACTTCGAATTTTATTCTATTTTTTTTTATTTCATTTATAACGAGGAAGAGTCATTTGTAGCTCTATCATCTGTAGCTTATGATTATATAATTTTATCATAATTTGCGATAAATATGTATCTAAGATTGTACTGTACTAGGTAGAACATCAGAAAACATTGACATAAATATAAAAACAGACACTCCAATCGAAATAACATAATTTAATAACAAAAATTTTGAAAAATAACTAATTACAAAACTCTAACTATATTTAAAATTTTTTATTTACACGCTTGTTGCGCTCAACAATCATCAAAGCCTTCGAAACAATGTTACAGGCAACTTTAACTAAGTTTATCTCAAGTAAAAATTAAAATTTTCATAATCATAAAATATTTATATTTTTATAATACATGGACAAAACTTTGTT